CTTCTGATGGACCCAGGGCTGAGCGATGAATGTAAGACGAATTGTCCAAGACAAATTCAAAGCATTTACATTACACGATGAATATTGAAGGAAGATTGAAGGTCACACTTAAATTACCTAAAAATTTCTTTGCTTCTTATTTGCCCTTATTTAATATTTACCTGGCATTTGTCAGTGGAAAAATGTAAAAGTGAACTTGACAACGGAGTAAAATTATTATTTACAATTATCACAACCGTTTCTTAGTAACGGTATTGTTCGCTTACCAAACGTGACATGACACGCGACCTTCAAAACGTAATTTAAAAACACTCATGTTTTTCTTCATTTCATTTTATTCCGCTCTAAGTACTTTTTATCCATCCATCTCGGTGGGCGTTATTTAATGTTTTTTACCTACTTATTTGCTATGCTTTTGGCGAAACTAAATTTATTGTCGTTCGCTGAGACGAATGCGGAATGAATGCATCGAAGGCACGCGATAATGACGTCTGCATGTGGGCTGATTTGTTGTTGCTCAACTAGTTAACAGTTAACTAGTTGAATTGTCTGCAATTTAAATTTAGATTTCTGATGATTTTATTTGCAATTAACAAATTTTTAAGATTAGATTTTGTTTGGCAATTTTACATCTTACATACCTTCCGTCTATAGCAACCTATCTTGGGAGAGCGCCATGTAAATACACCGCTTGCCCTTGACGGTTGCCCGCAGGAACCAGCGCCGATTTGATTTGCTCCGTAAAACCGGCTGGGCTCATCTCTTACCTTATAGATCATGTAAATGTATTGATTTGCGTTTATATTCGAACATAAAAATTATGAAATTTGTTGACGAAAATTAGAAATTTGTTCAAAAGCAACATTTCGCCGTTGTCAGTAGCGTTGATAAGGCGAGTAAGCATATCGCTCTTCCAGTCGGGTGTTATGGACGGAAGGTATGTAAGATGGGTAGTTGCAGCATAAGATACGCTACCTGTTTTCTCTCCACTACTTCTGGGCAATCTTCAACGCACCAGCTGTTTTTTGACCTATCCGAAAACCAATTGTTTTGTTGCCACAAGGTAGTGCTTCGAGTCGATGTTGGATTCACGGAGCGTGCGCGTGTCCAGAACACTGGCGAGACTGGCGTTAAGATCGCCAAGCACAATATTCACATCGTGACGGGGGTAGGGCTCATAAGTACGCTCCTGGCGCTCACAAAAGCCTTCCTTAACCACATTGTCCTCCTCTCCGTTGGGGCATGGGCGCAAATTATTGATATGGTGAAGAACTTCGCTTTAATACGGATTATGGCTAGATCGAGGTGGATGTTAGTCCTCGGCGACAGAATTCTCTCCACAAGAAAGCAAATACCAAATATGCTCGCCTTCAAAGGCCGGTATTAAAATTTACAAAATCCTACTCGTATCCGTTCTTCTCTCGTCCACCGCACTTCTTGGTTGGCGGTGATTTTTAGGTATGAGTCGAACATATTAAATTTTAGTTTCTCCCTTGGTAAGCTACCTTGAGCGATCTGCTAGAGGACTCTAGCAATTAAGGTCTGGATATTGTCACTGATTAAACTGTGACCCATCCAAACCCAAAATGAATCTACTGATCGGTGCGCCTTTTTTGCTATGAAAAAAGGAAGAAACTAAGAAAAATGCCGAAAATGTTTCTTAGATCTGCGACGAATTTAGAGCATTGATTGTAAAGAATAGAGAATAAATATATATATATATATAGAAATAAAGAGAGAGCATCTGTGAGTAGCAAGTGCACCTACCTGAGATACATATATACATACATATACAAGAATACATTCAGCTATGTATCCTTATACCTGCAGAGATCGATGTTTACTCACATAATTGACAAGTGATTTAAAAGGGTGAGAATGTGCGAGTGAGCGAGAGGGCTTAGCAGCGCTACTAGCCGCTTGATATTTGTGAATGTATGTTTGAAAATATATTCAAAAGGACATACCTTTACTATTTAAATAAATACACATTTTAATATGCATTCGCCTACACCATCAGTGTGTACCTTTATCATTACCATTTTTCCAAGGCAACATTCGTATATATACGAGTATATATATTTAATATGTACATACGTATAAATGTACGTATGAATGTTAAGTGTCAGTGTGCGCTATCGAGGCGTCAGGTTCTGCGCTATTAAAATTAATTATCACTAATTATTTAAGTAATCAAATTTAGTCCAAATTTGTTTGCTATTAAAATTTTTGTACTTCACTTTCAATGGCTCCTGCTTTTCGTGATTTTACTTTCGGCTGCATCGCTATTTGCCAGCAAATTTGTCAAGGTCTTTGTGTTCTTGGAAGGAGTTTTGAGCCCAGGTTATACATATATACATATGTTTTACACTATCCAATGACTTGAGCCCTTCTGGATTCAGTTTGGCTTTGACATCTGTTCGCATCGGTCGTGTTTATTCCGAAAATTAAAGTGTCTGAAATAAAATGAGAATTTTGAAATTTTCAATTATTTGAAATTCATAGCAGAAGTGTGTGTTTGATAATACTAAAAAAGCGAGTATAACATTTGCTGAGAGAGAGAGTTGCAGTTGCGTCTGTAAGTAAATTGAGTTTTTTGATAAAAGTGGTAACTGTAACTGTTTATTGTTGGGTATGAAGTAGCTTACCTGTTTATACATATGTCTCGTTTCATAAAAGTGAGTATTGGAGTAGAAATTAATTAAGTCCTTTTTTGTGTTTGTGTTCAAAATAATGTTTTTTATTGAAAAAAAAACACATCATACAAAATGTTTTCCGTGGGTAGAGACTACTTTTTTACATCTCTGGTAATTTTCGATTTTATTTCTAAAAAATGAGTCCTCTCTATATCGGATTTCTTCCGATAGACCCGAACCGGTGACCCCCAAAATCGTTTTGCAGCCTTCGGAATACGACGAGTGGAGAAAGGCCTTCCATTTCAGCATTTCCAGGTAGTTCTTGCCGAGCGTTGTCATGTTGCGAAATCCCCTTATGATGTCCTTCGGTCGGTTCTGGTCGTGTTTTATGCAATGCATAGCTCAAGCGCATTACTTGTAATGGATAGTGAATTTAGTTTGCGTTTGGCACAGGTCTTAATCCAGTAAAGCCTTAAATTCTTCATCTTTAAACTTTTTGGATTGTCCTGAACGCTTTTTTCTTCACCACGTTTGGCCAAAACCTCTCTCGGCATAACATATCGGTCGGCGTAGGATTACCATAAACTTCTTCAAGCATTCGATGGGACATTTTCGGAGAGAAACTAAACTATGTTGTTGTTCAAAATGTGAAACTATTTTATTTTATTAAAAACACTCTCAGATAGTTTGAATTTCCCTGCGAAATCTTCAAATAAGTTTTCAGTAATTTTTGATATTAAAACGGGCAGGAATCAAGCCTATGGCCCTCCGATTGTTGCCTAGCTTTGTCCTGCCAATATAAATGTTTTATTTAAAATATCTTAACCCATATCATTTGGACACTAGTTCAATTAGGCAATACATTAATAATATATATACTAAGAAATTTAATTCCAATGAATCAAATAATATCTGACAGTGTAATGGTTTTAAATATTTTAGGTATTAAACTGGTTCGCATTGCAACTAGTTATTATACGTACTAGTTTAAACTGCGCCATAAATATTTTCACAGTTTTTTGTTTGCGCTAAAATTAATAAAGAATAAACTTTGAAAGCTTACAACTAGTTAGAATTAGTACTAGTTCAAACTGCACGATTATAACTTTCAGTCCAGATCATCGCAGTTAGTTGTGTATTTGCAGCATTTCAGGCCAGGTTCTATGCGTGCCGGTATATGTTCGAAGATCTCTGGAGTGTTTAATTTATCAAATTTCATAGTTAATGTCAATATCTCTTTTTTATTTATTTTATTTTCTCACCGATTATAAGAAATGAACAGGTAAAATAATTTCCACTTAATTCAGCTTCTTTCGATATCGAAGAGTTGGCGAAGGCTCTTCTCTGCCTTTGAATTTTAGTACAATAATCAAGCCAATAACGGACTAGCTTTAATGAGTACCACTTGTGGACTAGTGGTTTATCGTAGCTGCTGAATTTTCTAACCGGGCTGCCTAAATACATTCCCGCATGTATGTACATTGTGTACCTTTGCTACGCTGGAAAGTAAATAATCCATTTATTTGCTTGTGCGCCGCTGTGTTGCCAGTTAAAGGCAACTAGTTTCCCTTTGGCGCGTTTAATCCATTCGTACCATCAGCCTATCGCACAATGAACATTGCATGGTCACGATTTCCGTATTAGAGTTGTTCTTATTTTTGTTGTTGTTATGTTTTTCTCTTTCGAAAGTCTAATGCAATTTCGTGCAGCTGGGAAAGTAACTGCTGAGCGGAGCTTCTGAACGCCATGAGCCTCAAAGCGCAGCATAATTTTCCCTTCTTGCCATCGAAAGTAGAATACTGAAGAACAACAAAAACTGTGTGTGCATAGTAGATATGTATGTTCGTGTGTAAGGGTACTTTGGTGCATTAATATTCGAAGCTTCCAGTTATAAGTGCCGCTCGTTAGCTGTCAGTCGCCGTTCGTCTGGCGTTTTGGGGCGTACAAGGAAGTAGTTATGCGCTGCCGGTGGAGTATATTTTGTATGATGGTATTCCTATTCCTAGATTGCATCACTGATCGAACTCGCCAAGCAAGTTACAAGAGTCTTTGGTGGTTTGTTTGCCAACTTCGAGGAAAATAAAAGCAAAACACGAAAAACTGATTTACAACTTTGCGTGTCGGCCACTTTGGCACGCATTTTGCCGGCCACTCTCGCGTGCCGGCGACCTGCTCAGCACCGCGCTTGCATAAGTCTGTGCTTTCCGAGATTTCCACTGGATTTATGTAACTTCTTGACAGCAAAAATGGCAAATAATTTATTTTCATGATTTTGTTTTATTAATAAAATCACTTTGTAAATATATTTCTATTATTTGCTTAAAATATATCTTATCATATTTCTTTTCGCCTCTCTCTTTCCAGCGCCAATCTCATTGCGAAAAGTAAAAGTCATTCTGCCATTGTTGCCCCCGCACCACCACCACCAGGCGGCGTAGCGATTGGCATTGGCCCTCAATTGCCACCATTTGGTAGCGGCGGCTTTGTTAAGCTGCGGCATGTAGACAAAGTACAAGATCAACAGCAACAACACCAGGAACAAGGCGAACAATACAAAGCCACCGCTGATTCGAGCCACAGCCACTTTTCAAACGCACAAAGCTCACAAGAACAAGAAGCACAAGAAGGCGAGGCCGCACAGTCACTGTCGCAGTCGCAGTCGCGCAATCCGTCAGCATTACCGGCGTTCTTACAAGGCGGTCTTCGACGCAGTCTAACACAGGTGAGCGGACGGTTGAGTGAGTGTGAATGAGTCATGTTGGTAATTAAGTTATAAAATTTTAATGCAGAGATACACAAAAACGAACTGACGCACGTTCAAGTATAAAATTAGAATTAATTTCAATTAGGAAATTCAAAGTTTCGATGAGTCATGAAAATATTGGGAAAATTTCAAGAAGAGATGGACAATGCAACTCTGTTCTTATGGTATTAATGATAATTAATAATGCTTGTTAGTCGCATTACCAAAAAGTCCGTCAAAGAAATGGCAGTGGTAGCAATAAAGGCTGCTGGGGAATGCAAATTGCTGTGAAAATACCAGGACGTCCGCAGTGGGAAGACCCTTTTTCCTGGGCTGTATTACGGGATATTGAAGAAATTTCCCTCCGGTTGTAGGAGCGCTTTTCTTGGAAAGGATAGTTCAGAAAAAGACCTGAACTGTCTCTCCATAAAGTCGGGTATTTTTTGACAAAGTCGCTGGTAACTGCAAAACTAATGAGCTTGCGAAAAAAGGCATCTTTAAGTCGTTATCATCGGGCAAGAATACTATAGTCATTAGAGGCCTTCTTCTGAACAAATAAAAGTCACGTCACCTTTATAAACGTTAAGAAATTCCCCCAGACTGGAGGGCTGTTGATTCCGCAATTGAGTGAACTCATTTCTGACTTTGATTTAGAAACATTTTGTGAGTAGTTTTTCAGTGTACCAAGGTCCGGTACTTCCTAGCCTGTTTCCTTTTTCTGTATTTTATTTATTTTATTTTATTTAAAGTGCGATCATTACTGTGCAAAATAGAGTCACTTAGACACTCTTTAAATTATTTGGTTCTACGATGGTACGTGCAAAATCCTGAGCACTTGCCCGGTCCGGTTCGGTCAACCGAAACATTTTCATGACTTCGATTCGCGTATCTGTGCCAGAAAAAAATTCAATGTCTTGATCTATCATTTTGTTCTGTAAACTGGAGTTTAAGAAGTTCAAATCCGCTTGTAGGCTCTCGAAAGCTATCCCAATAGTCCAAACCATATTATTACAAAATGGCCGAAATGGATTTTTATATGTGTGTATATGCTCGTACCTACATGTGCGTATTAAAAAAATACTGAGAATTACTTTAAAATTTCTTGAAAATAAAAGTAAATCATCTTGAACCTTAAAACCGATTATTTTTCTTTTCTCAGGTCATGGGACCAGATCAACGCACAATCACCGTCGGCTCTAAGGCCGGTTCAATTGCCGATCGCCTCGCGGCACTCCAAAAGAGCGGCGAGGATGATTGGAAGAAGAGAATATCGCGACGCGATGAAGTTGACGAAATATGCCGAGAGAATCTCGTGAATGTGAGTACAAAGAATTTTTCATTTTATCATTTCCATATACTTATGCATATACACACATATATATGAATGTACATATGTATGTCCATATGTTTGCAGAAGTATTTTACTAGGCAACCGTAAACAAACCGTAAAAGCAAAAGCATTTTTTTTTATAGAAATGCGTGTTAATGAAAGAAAAGCGCAAGTTTGCATTTTTTCTCGGTGGTCTAGTGGCCAACTTCACAGCAGCTTTGGAGTTGTTATTGTTTAATGTTTATTTATTTATTTGTTTTTGTTATTTTGAGCGTTGCACGCCTCGTTAGGCCATTGTTGTTCGCCCGACGGTTGGCTGACTGGTGTGAATGCGGTAAACGCGGCAATAATGCACAGCAAAATGCCATAAAATAAACAAACAAAGCAAAGTGAAAAAAATACATAGTCATATATATGTAACAACAACAATATGCATAGAAAAGGCAGCAACTACGTAACCGATTCGCTGGTGGGTGGAGGAGGCAGGCATGAAGGCAGTCAACCAGCCAGAAAGTGAACCACCAAAACAGCAACCCGTTACACCACCGTCAACAGGTCTCTGCGCAAGTGACGCCCGTCACATGTGAAACTCTATGGCCAGCTAACGACGCCGCATTGTTGTCGCCCATGAATTCATTGAATGGCGGCAGCAGCAGCAGCAACAACAGCAACAGCGGATTGCAGTAACGGTAAAAGTGTTTCCTTGTTTGCAAAAAGTGGTCTTTAGTTGACTGTTGCCTGCTACTGCATGCTTGGCTCTCCAACAATAGTAAACGCCATTTTCGACGAGCTGTGGAGGGGGTTGTACCGCATCAAGGTGGCTTTGTTGAGCCTCAGATGGCACGCGTGCGCAGATTTATCCAACATAAAATACTTTATTGCCTGTTTTGTTGTTGTTGCTCAAGCAGTTGCTTTTCGTGTTGCTATTGTTGTCTGTTTTGTGCCAATTGTTTTCTTGAGCCGCCCATTCCCCTTACTCAACTCGCTGGCGGAAAGCAAAAGTGTCACAGTATCGCGCAGACAGTTACTTTCTTTTATATTTTCCAGTCGTCTTTTATACACATACATACATACATACATACATACATGTTGCATATTTATTACACATCTTCATAAAGAATTTTGTTATGGCAGCAGTGTAGGCAACTTCTATTTTAATTATGTCACTACTACTACATCTGCGTTGGCGCATTGTGCGTCAGCGTGTGTGTGTGCTAAGCGCACGCTCAAATGCATTTCAAGAGACGGAGAACAAGACAAAGGCATTTTTTTATAATGAATGAGTCGGAGCATTAACGGAGTAATCTTCATTCATACATACATAAATGGATTACCAGCAAAATGAAGTGGAGTATTTTGTTTTAATTCTTTCTGCGATGAAATTATAACAAAAATCCGTCAGTAGTAACTGTGACCTATAAAAAGGAGTTTAAATTATTTTGAATAAATTCCTTCAGAAACAAAATAAAAAATATAATTATTATAATAAGATCATTTTTTAGCATATATCTATTATTTAAAAAGTATCGGACGAAAAGCACCAAATTTCAATTGATGTACATGCAAACAACATATATACATACCTATGTATGGATGCACATCTGTATAGAACAACAAATAAATTCTCGTTTGCCTGCCTACTATGCTTTTAAATTCACCATACAGTCATGGCGATTATTAAAATGTGCTCTTTTATTACAAACAGGCAAGAGCATCACCTATGTTTAGAGAAATTGAGAAAAACTGTTGCATAGTTTCAGGCGCACCAGCAAACAAAATGTATTGCAGTTCATTATTTGCCTTAAAAGAAACTTCAAGTTTACGTTGAAACATAAACACAATAAAATAAAATTAAATTAAATTGAAATTCAAGTAAAATAAAACGAAATCAAATTATTTTAAAATATATTAAATTAAGTGAAATAATATAAAATTAGATTAAACAAAAAATAAACTATGTTAAATTAATAAAATAAAGCTAAATAAAGTAAAATAATATATAAATAAATATAATATATAAGCATAAATTGAATGGAGCTAAAGAAACCAATATTAAATTAAATTAATAAATCAATTAATCTATGCATAAATGTATAATTTTAACATTAGCGTTTGCGTCTTATGAATTTCTGCCTCCGGTTGCTTTTATACACACAAATTTGATGTTCTCTTTTTTTTTGCAATTACATGAAATTGTATATACATACCTACATGGAAATGTACATATATTCCCTATTAAGAAATCTTCATTCACTGTCATCCATCAAACGCTTTCGTTTTCGTTTCCATATGCCATAAGGAAATGGCCAACCATTTAACTGGACTCAACAAATATAATATATAAATAAAGCTTTTGCTTTATTCGGCGTACGTGCACACAACATGCCACATTTGGTAGCAACAAATAAAAGCGATTGTGATTCAAATAATAAACAGTCGCGAAGAGCGAAGTTGTTGTTCGATTGGCAATGCGCATATGTAGATAGGAAAAGTAATAACAACTCAAAATTATTATGTATATAATGTAATAAATAATTATTCACTATTTAAACCCGTAAATCGAGTTTCTAAATAATTATTTCAATAGTAGAAAATTTATGAGTCCGCTTTGCTGTCTGTCTGCTGTGCAGAAAAGACGAAATGTCATTGGCTCTTCGTAGGCAAAGTAGTTACATTGTTGGCAACTTGTACGCAGATAAACTGTTTTGCTTCATCTTCCTCCCTTTTCATACGAGTAGAAGTAAAATGCTATGGAAAACCAAGAATCAAAACTCTCGTTAAAAGAAATCAGTTTACTGAACTCTGTGTGCCTTTCTTCGCATTTTTAAGTATTTAATAACAGTTTTATTTTATTTTGATATTTCTTCACTTTTGGCTTAAGTCGCTTCTCTTTATTACATTTGTTGACTTCTGCCGACGCATAACTGTTGTGCCCTTTTTTTATTATAATAATAATATTTTTTTTGTTTGTTTAACTTTTAAATCTTTTTTATTAAATTTTATTTTGAAGTTCTTGAAGCGCGTTCTCTCGTGCTCGACGCGCACTACTTGCTCGCAAAAAAAAAAATTAATAAAAGAATTAGATTGTTAACAAGCTACAAAAACAACAACAACACTCCACGAATTGAGGCTAAAATAAAAAGTCCGTAAATCTGATCAGTTATGTTATACAAGTATACATATGTATGTATGTATAAGTGCACAAATATTTATTTGCATTAAATATGGGCTACTGTTGAACTCAATAAGACTTTTCGCTTTTATTTTGCATTTTGACTTGAAAATCTTTTTAAAATGTGACAAATTTTGGTTAGCAAATAAATATTTAACATGATTACAAATAATAAATATATACAACTATTTTTAAATACAATATAAATATACATCAATTCATTTGTCAAACTGAACTGTCAAACCAAACATGTTTTGTTTCATTTAAAAGTCAAGTCACGAAAATATACCGAACAACAAACGCACAACACGTTGAAAGTCTGAAAACGACGAGGCACATTTCTCACTCGGCAGCTACGTAAATAAGTAAAATTTGGTGCGCTCTTTGCTCCGAAGGTTTGATTGGATCTTGCTTCTTTGAAAACGACAACGGCGGGACTGTCACTATCCATTCGGCGCATTGTGATAAACGACCTTTTCTCGTTTCCAACGATTTGGTTTGTAGTTTCAGTCAAGGTGGTGTCACATGCCATACCGCGAGAGAAATTTTCCGGCCACGTGATCTTCCGTTGGACATCTTTTGTGGGGCTTCCTGAGAGACCGTGCTTATGCGGGTAAACCTTAAACTCTTGCGCACGTACCAATTACCCAAACAGATCGAAGTTTGCAAAAATTCGCGAAGCCTTCATTTGAATGAAGTGGGGTTTCATAAATAATGCCGAGGTGCAAATTGAAAATTAGAAAAAGAATTTCACGAAAATCATTATTTTAAATGAATTTTATTTACATTTATATTCAAAACTGGCAAATGAATAATTCTGTATATGCTTTTTTGATAGATTCCTAAGCAAGGAGATATAAGTATGTACTATATGTACACTAGTTCATTTGCAGATACGAATGTAGAATACCCAATTTCATACTCTGAGATTTTTTTGCCGGAGTTTTGACCAAAGTCTTATATCTGAAAAAATCTGTGTATGGAAGCTTTATGTTAAGATCGTTTGATTTCGATAATTTTCTTCCAAATTTCACGCTCTTAGATCCCATTTTGCCAAATTTACGACTAAAAAACTCTAAGCTGAAAATTCGCTCAGTTATATGCTGTAGAGGTCCGATCTGGGCGGTTTCGACAAATGATCACATATCACAAACTGAGGGTACAGATTTTGATGAGTCCATCTCTTCTCCTTCTGAGACTTACATGCTTCGGACCAAAGTTATATACGAGTACATGTCAATTTATGTGCATGAAAGGTATAATAATTATTTTTTTTACTTGAAAAAATAAATTTTTTATGTTTTTCTGACACGAATTAACAGTGTCACTTAAGCAAGACCGTTATTTAAGCCAATTAAAAGAGCTCATTTGACACTTATGACCACTGCGGTACTTAACTCACTGCAAATGTATGTGGCATATGTATGTACATATATTTGTAGATCTGCACTAATACGAATATTTTTGTGTTTTGCCTTTGATTTTTCCGCTGTTTTTTGTTGAGCTGAAAAGAGGCTAAAGTTACAAATGAGTATCTTCCTCTTCTTCTTCTTAAATAATAAACCTTTCAGAAAATCAACAAAGCAAAGTTATTATCCGCAGTCAACAGCTGCAACTGTTGCGCGGCTCAAGAAGAGAGCAACACAAGACACACACTCGCAGTGTCGCTTCTGGCGCTTAGCCGAGTCACTGCTACGACTGGGCGTTTAACGCCTCTGTACCGAGTGTGGCATCATAATTAAAGTGGCGCAACAGGGCGCTTAGGTTACAGGCAATTTATTTGCCATTAGACGACGTCGGAACAAAAAAAAGAAGAAAATGAGTTAATAAATTGGGATCGTAAGGAAATTAGACACAAATACACAGCAAAACACTCACGATGCTTTTCTGTCACACAGTAAAGGAGGAGATTTGAAAAAGCACGCTCAAGTGTTGGTTATGTGTTTTACACTTCCACACTCACATACACACGAGTGCATAGGCATGAGGCTATTTGTTAGCAATTATTCTTGCCACACTTGTGGTCTTCACATTCGCATTCATTCACTCAGCCGCTGCGGCGGCAATTCGTTTCACTTTAGTTCTTCGGTTTGCTGAGCTTCAAGTGCCGCCGCCGTCGTCGTCGCTGACGTAGCCGCCTCATACGGTTAATTGAATCACAGCACGCGTTTGGGGGAATCGAGCTTGTGGCTTGTTTTTGTATGAGCACTCAACTTGCTACTAACTGTATTTATGCTCGGGTATATTGCTCAGCGTCTTGCCAATTATAACTACATTATGGCTCTGCTTTCCCCACTTATTAGTTCCTTAAATATTTTTTATTTATTAAATATTTATTTTACTCATTTGGTCGTGGTTCTTGCCTTTTTCCGCACTCTTTTTCGCGACTAACTGTCTTCATTGTTATTTTCACTGCTCTGCTTTAAGGTGTCTTTCTTGAATCATTTTTTGGCACGCATCAAACAAACGTCGGGTTCCTCAAGTGCTTGATCACACTTCGTTCAAATAAAAAGTGATTTTGTCACTCAAACTGAACGCTCACACAAAAATCGTGTTCGGTCGAGCCTTATTTGAAATCCATTTCGTTTTCGCAAATCAATTAGACAAGCAACCGCATAAAGACAACCTTTCGAAAGTGAAGAGGTGAAGAAAGTGATACAAAAATGTATGTTCATATTGGTCTAGTAAAAAGTAGTCAATTACTTTTTTGATTCACCATTGTTGGAATCATCTGATTGACATCAAATATGCACCGTTTTGCTCGATGCCTTTTTGCCAATTTGGAGGTTATGAATTGGAGGTCTTCCTCTTCCTCGGCTTCCACCAGCAAGCACTGCATGGAATACTTTCAGAGCTGGGCATGACATAGCCGTCCGCTGTCTTCACCGTTAAACTATATTAATCTGAGCGCATAACTCGTGCAGCTCATCATTTCATCGTATGCGGTATTCGGTTTTCCTAACGCGCAAAGAACCATAAATACTACGCAAAACTTTTCTTTCGAAGACTTCCATGGGCGACTCATCGTATTTCGTTGACGACTGAACCATAAGCACAACGAGAATTATGGGCGACTTGAAGAGTTTGATTTTTGGTTCGTCGAGGGGAGGACTATGCCTTTCAATTGCCCATTATCTGTAGCGATAATAATTGTTGTTATTTTGTTGTCGGTTCTGATTTAAAACTCTTATCTTTTGTGAAATTTACAAAAAAAAAAATCTGAGTTTGTTTTACTGATTTCATGAGTGTCTGAGTTTTACAAATATCTTCCAATTCAAAACAGTCGTCAAAACTTTAAATTTACATAAAAATAACTTGGCCACACCTCTGGGTCACCCAAATATTGCTACCGAAAATACCTGTGCTTCTGATCATTATCATTTAATATTATCATGACAGTGATCGCTACATGCAATAAGAATAAGCAAAAAAGTATTTATTTTTAGTCTTTAATATGCGATCAAGGTTTCGCTGATAATAAAATAAAGGTGCGCGAAGTGATGAAATTAAACAAAAAATATATATGTACGTGTAGATATATAAATGCCAAGAAAACAAATAACTTTGAAAGAACATGTGTATATGTAGGTATGTTATTTTATTCTTTTTTTTTTGCTGTAAATGACGGTAACTTTTTTTCAAATTGTTTGGATTTTGCTTCTTTGGGAGTTCGATTGGTCCGGCCTAGCAGTGAATGAGCGTGAAATTAGAAGCAAAAATACAAGCTGATCTAAGCGTATTTTGATTGCTTACGTCGGTCACACTTACCTTCAAGAGAACATCAAGACCGAATTTTTCTTTAATTTAATATCGATGGACATTATAAAACAATACATCTAAACCATTAATCTTCCAATCAACTTTTGAAGTTGCAGCAATTCTTATACGTTTGATCACAGAATAAATGTTTAATGAAAACAAAAAAAAAAACATAAAAAATACAATTAAAGAATGATGGCAGAACAAAGAGCTAATCAGAGCAAATGCAACAGAATGGAAAGAAATAAATAAATAAATAAAACACAACAGATATAAAGAACAAAACTGAAAGAAATCTAAATCACGATTAACTCCAGCAACGAAACACGAAAAAAGCAGATTTTTCTGCTTGAAGCATGCGTACATACATACAAACATACACAACAAAGCTCCAACTTATCGAAGAAAAGAAAACAGATCGCAAGAACATTTTACAATTAACATTGGAATTCAATAAATTAAATTACAAAACCAAAGCAAATAAAATTACAATAAAAAGCAAAAAAAAATATTAAAAATCCAACAAAGCAAAATAATTCGATAACTCAGGCCAAAGGTATTTTCTGATGATTCAGTGTTGAAAAATAAAACTACAAATAAGCACACGCAAACGAAGATTGGAGAGCGGAGTTGTGTTGAGTGACTTACCGGCCAAGCGTCAGTAAACAGACCGAAAAGACGTGATCAATATAAAGCGATCGCCAATGGCATTGGCTACTGCGCATGCGCAAACGTTCAACCGAGACCGGCGACGAGAACTACTGTGCTGTGTAAGGCCATAAAATTGCGAGCATTCAACAAATATCCATATGGAAACAGCATTAAGTTAATGTAAGCTGCGGTAGCGACTAGCGGATGGCAAGAAATGAAAATAAAAATAGATTTAGAAGAAGAAGAAAAAATATTCCGTGAAAAAAGCCGCAAAAAATATAACAAATCAGTAGCAGCGCTCGAGGCTAAGGTTGTAAAAACAATAATTCTTCAGCTTCAACTGTCTGTCTGTTCATTTATCAAATTGAACAAAAGAACCAATTACAAAGTTATGTAGCAGCACAATGCAGACGAACTTACGGTACGTACTTGCAATCTACTCAAGAGCACAGCAACCAAGAACCTCCTCATTTCGTTTGAACAACATTGAATAATGTAAGTGACTTCAAGATCATTTGTCGTCGTCTGGCGCAAAGTCTGCAGAACATGCAGAAGAAAAGCCAGCGAAGTGAGCGGAGGCGCGGCTGTAAGACACCGGCGGCTCAGTGCTTCAGTGCTTCGTACAGCACGCAGCGACGTTGTCAGTTTGGCTATCTTTCATATAGCCAGCCAGTTAGTCAGACAGTCAGCCAGTCAGTCAGACAGTCAATTGGTTTACTCATATGGCTATCGAAGTCGTGGTAGACTGTTGGCGGCAGCTGTCGGTTGCCCGACTTGGTAGAAAGAAAAGCTTCTTTTGTTCCGGAAGAACTGTAAAGTGGAAAAAAAGTGTTTGATGCTTTTTAAGTCGTGATTGAAAATGAGCGTGCCACAGCGTACATACATACACTCGTGCGCTATGTAAGGAAGAAGTTATACATCATACTGACCCTCAGGTCTACTTTGTAACCTCGTAGATGATGCCGTATTACAGCCCGCTAGGGAGAAGGAACCTAGAAATCGCAGATAGTTTGAGGCCTGCCGAAGGTTTAATATGTATGAGCTGAGTTGCATGTTTTTCAAGCACTCTTCTTAGAAGATCTGTCTTTTCATTTAGCTCTCATTTTCTTGCTCTATTAGAATGTAGCTTCAGGAATTTTGCCTTGTAGCGTTAATCATAAATTAAAATAAGTGGACCTCTTAAAGGCAAGACAAGAGGATATATGGATTGCTTGACGTTCTAGATTGAGCAAGCGTTGCTTTTCCTTTACCCAAGCTTGTTTATTTTACATGAAAAGCATGCATGGTTAGAGTGAAGTTTAACCATCTCCGCAACCATTTCAGTCTATTCGCCATCCTCTGATCTTTTGCGCAAGCAACGCGTTTCTTTTAATCCCTGCTGGGCGTGCTATTAATCCGTAAGCCCCACTCGCCTTGGGCTCCCCTACTTCATCAACGAATATTTTGCAAAATTTTATGCGCAACTCTCTTCGTTTTAATTTAATTTTTTATTTCGTGTATCCTTTTCTGGTTCTGCTACAAGCTGATTTTATTCTCGCTGCGCCTTTGCTTGTACTGTGTGTAGTTTTCTTTTTGTTGAGCTGCTTTTGTAGCGACATAAATTATTACCAAGTCGGCCTGACTGGTAGCCCAGTGCCTTAACTAGTACTTTTGAATGCGAACTGCCAAAAGGGTTCGCACACACATATACACTCCGTGATGTCTTTGTAAACTCAGTGATTAGAGCAATCTTTACAGCTTTGGGAGGAGGAAGTCCACGAGCGATGAGTTAATAACTTAAGGCTGAAAAGCACATTGAATTGAGACAATTGTTTACGACTTAGCTAAATACTATTTTCTAAAATTTAATTTCGATATTTTAATGTGACTCAACCATAACTGTAACCTTAATTATACCGTTCTCAAGAAGATCTAAGTCAAGACTTGTTGCAATCACAACAGAAATAATCACCTGCGTGACTTGCTTTGTGGTTATTCAAAGATCAGGAATTATGGAACTTCTAGTGGAACTTTGATGCTCGCAGCTGCTTTCCGCCATGAGTAGGAAATCCACCATCCCTTGATAGCAGAGTTATAGAGGATAGAGAAAGCAGAAAAACTGTCTTATTTGCGCTTTTCGCATGCTCATGAGTAAACTAAGAATTGAATATACTAAATAAAGAGTCAAGGCACTGGGCTAACAAGTTTTTTTTTTAAACGAAAAAAAATCAAAATTTGTCTTCTTAAAAAAGAGCAAAACGCAACAGCATTACCATATGAGCAGCAGATGATTCATCGTTCTTGCGTGGCTTTATTGTCGACTGTGTCTCTTGCACGCAAGTAAATGCCACAGCATCCAAGAAGAGACAGTCTTCGGGCAACAACAACGTTGCTTTATTCTTCACTTCCCCATATATACACGTATAACAAGCAACTGACTTGACAGAGAGATAATCCTGTCCAAAGACTGTTGCTTTATTATTTATTTTACCACAAATTGCGCGCCTGCCTCTGGGTCTTTGTGGGTATCTTGTAGCGAGCTAAACTGAGAAAAACATAAATCGAGTCAAGGAAGGGAGTTGCGCATGCGCTTCTGACTCATTGCGTTAATATTGTTCATATTTATTTTTACATATATACCACATCCATGCGTTTGTGTCAGCGTTGCGATCCTCGAAAATCTCTCGATCGTTTCATAAGAGAGCGCAAAGCTTGACTGGGCAGCACGGCAGACTTTCATCTTTCTCTATTTGCATTTTTATTCATTCATTTGCATATGTATGTGACTTTGTGTTGCATTTCGTGCTCGATAATATATTTTATATTTTGTTCAAATTTCTTGCTGCTTGAACGACAATCAGCTCCCCAACACGCTGGCGCGCTTTCATACGTTTAGTTAAGCACGATCGCTCGAAGCGCTTGCTTGCTGCTGCAGCACGCCGGTAAACGAAGCGCTGTGTGTATTTCATACCATTTCTTCTTCTTCTTCGTTTGAGGCTTGACTTCAGCCACTCTTTGCCGCGTCGCTCACCTTTATTCGCTTTGCTTGAATTTGTTATCGCACCGACTTTGCGGATACAACAACTTGCTGGCATTTTAAGTAGCTTGTAGTCCGCAGCAGCGATAAGAAATCGTACGCGCTCTAGACGATTGAGTAAAAGTGGCAAGTGGTGACTAAGCACACTTGAAAAGACGAGCAAAAAATGCAACGCAAATTAATCAAGTGGCAATGAATTGCACGAAAAGTGGAAGAACTTGCAATAACGTTTATATCAAAAGAGGCATGTTGTTGTTGTTGTTGTTGTTGTTTTGTTTTCAAGTGTAAGAATTTGTGTGCTGACGAATTGGTGATAACAAGTGATTAATTGGATGATTAATAATTGCTTATTTTTTTTGTGAAGAAAGACTGGCGTGGAATGGGAGACCAATTAAAGAGAGCTTTAAAATGGAAGACGTGATTAACGAAATTGATTAATAAAAGCAATTAGTAAAAGGGAAAATAAATTCGGTGCTTTATTAAGTAACCAAACGATACAAGAAAGAAGTCACTTAAAAAATATGAAATAGAAATCCGATACAACAACAATAATAATAATAATGAAAATAAAAATAAATTAAAACAAATTTAAGTGAAATAAAATAAAATTATATAAAGAAATAAATTAAAAAATAAAATATGAAAATAATTATATTAAAAAAAATTAAATGAGATAAATTAAGAAAGTGAAGAAAACTCTACCTATTTTGAAAAATTTTGAAAATAAAAAAACGGTTCAAATTAATATACGAATAATGAAGATATTTATATTTAGTAATTAAAAAATATTAAGAGATATAAATTTATAGCGTCATGGTTGGTACTTTGTCTATAGACATACATACATGCTAGATTTGTTAGAAAATTTTTACGATATCCGCCATTACCTTAGCCTTGTGAAGCTAAATCCCTTAGTAATATTTCGGAATCTTCGTCCATTCTAAATAAATTTTATTGAGGACATTTCGCGTATCACACTTTAATGTGAATACAAAGAGTCTGTAAGTCGCTTCACCTTATACATATATGTATATGTATATATGTGCAGACACAAATAAATATTTAAACGCTTGCTCATGCGTTTGTCTATATGTCTGTATGTACATTTATATATGTATGTCGTCTATATGTCATTGTGACAAAATTGAGGTCCAAGTCCATATTGCTCCACTTGAAGATTTCTTAATCTTAAACAACGTAAACTTTGTATGCAAATATAAACATACAAATTCCAGTAAATAAGCTCGCAAAATGCCAGCAACAACATCTACGCGCAGTATTTTACTAAAAGCAATTAAAATAGAATGACACAGATAATAAAAATAAATAAAGACATTATTTGAAAATTATTTGGCTGCCCATACATGCATACGTATGTACATATGTACAGACACATATATAAGCAAACACATAAAAGTTGCCAGTTGGCCAACACAAAAATCAAAGGTGCCAAAAGTCCGTCTCGTCCGGGCGGCGGGCTGTGTGTGGGGGGGAAGCCGGCAAAAAGTCATGACAATTATTTAAATGAATTAGTAGCGGCTTGTGTTTACACATGTGCATGCACATACATAAATATGTACACACATTCATAGACGTATTTTAGTTCAAACGTAGGAAATACCCAAAGTGATTGCAGGAAAAGTAACGTAGAAACCAAAATACCTATTTCTGATATATGTACATGTGTCTGTTTGTAATAGCATACGTACGAGTATATTCATCTCTGCGTGTTTTTAGTATTTATAGAGAGCACCACTCACAAGGTCACAACACAAAATGCCATTGAATTGGGCAAAGTACAGCGATGATGCTGCAATGGCCAGAAATAGATGTTAAAAACATAAAAATATCGTGAAAAATAATTATATTGTAATAAATAAATAAATAATTTAAATTGGCTGATCCCTGGTCCGATTTCCGGGAAATAAATTATCAAGCTTTTCGGAAATCATAGCAGTAAAATGACCAATTTTCAAAATTCTCGGCATAACCTGGCTCTTAAGATTTTTCCTATAATCCCGAGGGTGTTTTTAATGCAAAATCATTAGTTAGATTTAGAAAAATTTATATCTCTAATACATTTCAAAAATCGTCTGCTTAATTACATTTTTCAACAAAAATTAATTCATACCCTTCCTGAGCATGAAATGGTATATTAACTTTGGCTCGAGGTATAGAAGTACTTTAGGGGGAGAGATGGACCTAGGAAAATTTCTTTATTATTGATTTAGCAGTCCGTCTGTTTGTCTGTAAGTTTGTTTTTGAGGTATTTCAATTTGTGGAAACCGGCAATATGAAACCACCATAAATATACGACCGATTTTTCAGATTTGAGAGTTTGGGTCATGAATTTGTCATTTGTCTAGAAAAGCATCTGATTGGTTTGCTATTTACGTAAATTCGGAAAACTTGTTAATCCTAAAATACAATAGAATTTGATATATTCCTGAAAGGCATAAAGATGAGGGCAATCCATTTTCCTTTTCTATTTTGTTTTTTTGCATTTTTAATTTTTTTTTAATCATTTTTTTTTACGTTCTTCTTTAATTTTCGTAAATGCACAAAATTTGTTTGTTCACCAGCAATTGTGACCTAATTGCACCTGTGACTATGCTTTTGTACATTTACTCACACGTACAATAAATAAAAAAAAATTAATTTCGACAAGTATGTATGTACATATGTATGTCTGCATAGACTATTTTACGTTCATAAATTCGCCTGATACCCAGACACGAAGCGGTTCTCGAGTCGCTGGACCGCAGCTGTTTCCACCAACACAGACGCAAATAAAAAATCCTTTTGTACGTATTTATGTATGTATGCACGTCAAATGACAAAAAAAATATATATAACAAAGATTAATAATAAAAGACCGCTACACCTTTTGACAACGTCGAAATCTGTCGCTTAAGCTGACCAACACAATAATAAAAACAAGAATAAAATAAAATAAAAAGATTATAATTCTAAAGAAACAAAAAGTAGTCAAAAAAAAAACGGTTCTGATTTTTCACTCTCCGTTGACATTGTAGAATCATTTTTCTTTTCATTTGCATGTTTGTATGTATGTTTGTACATTTGTACGTGCTAAGCTTTTAGGCAGCCAAGTGTTGTAGCTTCGTTCGCCATGCACTTGTTGCCAGCTTCTGTTCCGGCATTTGAAAAGCTAACAAAAACAGAGCAAAAAACAACAAACAATATAAACAATAAATATTGTTCAAAACAAATTATTCATTTGCGAAAAAATAAAATACACACAGACACTTGTACAATCATCAAGCACATTCTCTCTCATCATCAGCTTGTGAGTGTTGGCTTTAAGCGACCAAGCACAACAAACGTTCCGCGGGTGAGGCGATCTTACCGCTTGGAGCGAACACTGTTGCGGTGTGTTCAGTGTGTGTTCTCCGGCGCTCTTTACCAAAATTGTGTGAAGTTCGCGCTCACAGTTGGGCGAGAGATTGGCAATTCATAACCGGTAACTCACGCCAGCTGCTGAAGCAGCTCTCTTTGGGCGGCCTTTTGTGCTCCAATATAAAATATATTTTCTTGTGTGTGTACATATGTATGTATGTGCGCTTTTAAATAATGCTCGTAGTTGCCTAGTTATCGGTTCCGCATTGCGAGCATTGTACCTTCTACTTATGCCGTCTATTTAGTTGGGATTTTAGTTAACGCAGATATTTCGAGACACCACAACGACCGTAGAACGCGACGGCAGTGCGCGCTTCAAACGAAGATTTTTTTTTATTAAATAAAACTTAAGTTTCAAACTAAAAAGCATATATGTACATATGTGTATATATGTATTTATATATTAAAGATACAGCAAGGCCTTGACAGTGAAATTGATCTCAAAAGAACAGTACAGAAAACGAAGATCTACAGAAAAATGTAATGAAAAAATATTGAGTGTATTCAAAAATACCGTTAAGAGATTTAAAATCGCACGCAAGCAATATTAAGAATTGACAAACAAATTATCTGTGAACTCTAAGAAAACCGCAAAATTTTTAAAAATAGCCAAAAAAAAAAAAAAAAATACAAAAAATCTAAAAAATATTTCAAATAAAAGAGATAAGAAAATGAAATAAAATTAGAGCATATTTTCTCATATATTTTTCGAATACTTGTCGCTGTGGTCTCCACTGCATTTTGATAATAAAATTTAGTTAGAAAAAGAAAAACCAGTGCAACCGCAAAAATCTTCGCAGAACGACGTTTGTGAATTTGGAAATAAATGCACGAAAATTCTGCTTGCAATCGGATATTCGTGTGTGGGTGGCGGCGACAGCTGAAGATGCGATCGCTGGCAAATGAGCAAAAGCATACCTCTGCTTCATATATAATATAATACATAGAAGTTCATACATACATATGTACGCTTGTAGGCAATTTTTGTCTTTATGATTTGTGACATTATCTGCACTATAAACACACTTGCACACGCACCCACCAACTTGCAGTTGATTTCCATTTGTGCATAATTTTGCCGGCAGAATAGGAATCAAATTTGAAAAAATAACGGTGCAAGCCTAAAAGATATTTAGTCGTCGCTTTGTGGTTGTAGGAGGTGCTAAGATTTTTTAAAGCCGTTTAAATTAACTAAAGTGTTATAATATTTATGATTTGATTTTAATTTATAAAATTAAATTTAATTAAAAAAGTCAGAAAACTATAAACTTAATATAAATATTATATATACCATAACTAAAATAATTAAAAATAAAACCAATAAAAACAAAAAAGTAATAAACTAAAAATATTTAGCACCTAATTAAACTGCAGTTAAACTACACTAGAAAAATAACAAAAATTCAGTATTTTCAACAAAAAAAAAGCATTAAACGAAATATTCAAACTGTTCAATTGTTACTGAAACGATTAAAATTAATCAAATGAAAGAACTGTGCAGAAAATGACGTAAATAAAAAAAAATGAAAATTTAGCAAGAAATACATACATATGTACATACATATAAAAAAATCGAACAAAAGCCATTCGATTAAAATTTGAGGTTTTAATATTGCTTGTCGTGCTTTCCTTATCAATAAAATGAACTAATAAATCGGAAGGGTATATACTCGTATGTACATATGTATATCGCAAAATACAATACATATTAACACCCAAAAAAATTCAGCTAATTGTTGTACACGACTATGTAAATATGTATGGATGCATGTACATACTTATTTATAAACAAACATATTTACATACGACAATAATAACAGCTAACACAGACCAAAAGTATATCAACAAAACAAGCCAACAACACTACGTAACGGGGATATCTCAAATACGCGGGTAGTCAGAAATTGAAGGAATTAATATAATACAATTAAAAATTGTTAAAAGAAAGCAAAATGCATCCAAATAGTAAATAATAAAAATATTCAACAATAAAATAGAATTTAACAAAACAAAACAAAAAAAAACAAATTTAACAAAAACAAATAAAATTTTACAAAAAAAAAAAATGAATAAAAAACAAAAAAAAAAAAATAAAAAAAAAAATAATATAATATTAAAATAAATAAAAAAATATATATAAAACATATTTAATAAAATAAAACTAAAAAATAAAAAAATTTAAAATAAACTAAAAAAAATAAAGAAAATAAAATAAAATAAAAAATGGGATAAAATGAAAAAATAAAAAAAATTAAGTAAATTATGAGACAAAAAAGTTTAAAGAAAGAGTACAAATTAAAACAAATGATCAAATGGTGAAAATTAAATGTATTGTAATAAAAAATTTGAGAGACAGTAAAATAAACTTAAAGGCAACGCAGCAACAACAATGCTCAAAATTTTTTTTTTTTTTAATTTAAGAAGAAGAATTAACAATAATTTTTATCACTTTCCTCAACAGTGCAAAAAAAAAAAAATTTGCGTAAAATAAAAGACTAAAAAAGTTCTAAATAAGACATTTACGAATTTCAAAAAAGCGCTTGTGATATAAAAAAAGCAAAACCGACAAATTGAGAATTTTATATTAATTTTCTTCAAAAAAACTTGAAAAAAGAGCTAAACATTAGCATAAAGAAACAAACAAAGCTGCAACATTTAACCATGGATTTTGATTATCGAGAATACCTCGCTTACCTCGCCTACCTCGAGACCTTTTGGGCCTACTTTCCCTATCTCTTCTACACTTTCGTCTTCCTTACACTCATACCGAAATCCATAAGACGCATAAAGACCTTCGCCGATGCAGACTACGAAGCCAATCGTCACAAATACCACCGTTGCTATGCGCCGGACATTTGTTGTCACACACTCGGTGAGGCAATGCCCAAACCGAAACCACGCAAAGCTGTAACGCGTGTCTATCCGAAACGCCACACCACCGCAGGCACCAACGACTACAAACAGGATATCACGTCACCGACCGTCAATCATATCAAACGACAAGTGGAGCCGGCGTCTATACAAACCAACACACACGTCAATCAAATTGCAAAAATGTTTGAGAATGTGCCCACAGTCACGGTGTCGCCAGCATTGTTGGGCAAGAAAATCAATCGCGTAACACCAACCATACAAACATCAGATAATGGTGCAACCGAAGACACAACAACGACATCGGCGTCAACACCAACAAAGTCGTCGCTAAATGCCACGCGTCTCTCTCAGCTCCTCTCGCAGGAGCAACTGGAGAATTCGCTGAGTTTGCTGCAAGAGACAAACACGGATGAGGAACAAAGCTGCTGGCGGGAATCACCGCCACGGCGTACCAAACGTCGTGCCGAGCCACCCTCAAACTTGAATTACAGCGGCGCTGGCACGTCCACAACGCCATCAACCGCTTCGCCTGCCGCCTCATCGCCACCCTCCGACTCACCGCCAGTGCCATCCTCGCCGGTGCTGTTTCGACCACAACTGAGTATGAAATCAAGTTTGGAGGATATTTTCGCCGCCATCGCACTCAATGCGGAGAAGAATGAGAATTTCTTATACACCGGCTGTAAGTCACTATCGCCCGTCACATCCATCGACGACATTCTATCGCAACGGCGCCTCTCACGGCCACTATCCGCTTACTCGATCAGCGATCTGCTGAATGAGGAGAGCAAAGCGTTGGATGAGGCTAGGGTCGAGAACTTCTTGACGGTGCTGAATACCACTTGAAGGAGCGGTCGCTCGGTCGGAGTGCTTAGTATATATTTGTGTGTAAAGTTTATAATTAGCAACATGGAGTGGTTGGGGCTGTGAAGTAGTATGCAATCAAAGTTGGGTGTGTACTTTTAGTTACTGTCTGGCTGTATTTATGTATGTATATGCTTGTGTCTTCAATAGGGATGTACCGGTTCATTAATATCGATTCAGTAAAATGAAAACTTACATGGTTAAATGTTTCGGTTGCGAGATCGGATACTGAAGACTCTTATTTTTTGTAATTCGAATGTTGCTTTAATCGCCAAGACTGGATTCCTCAAGATACGATAGCTCCGAGACAATAACCGTCAACGGTTTTCAGAACAGAATATCTCGCTTACAATAAATTAAATTAGCTTTTTCTAGCAGCAGTTCCAGAGGCTCAAGTTTTATGTTAATTCCAAGCCTCGTTCCATTCCAGTTACTTGTTCCTAACGTACCTTTGAGTGTTTCAATCACTCGCATTTCGGGCTTTAAACTCGACTTCTTGTCGATTAAATGTACTGTAAAAAAATTACCTCCTTCTCCGTCCCTTATTCCGAAAAAAAGAAATCAATTCAGTTTTAAATCCTTAGGGCTGGTCTCAATTTGACCACTCTCGGTACATCCCTTCTTCTCCGGCACAGTATATATCTTAGCCTTAAGAAATATGTATGTATATATATCACTTTACTAGTTGACAGCTAACGGGTTAGTCAGTCGCAATGAAATGTCAAAGTGCCATGCGAACAGCAACAACAACAGAAACAACAAGAAGAAAGATCTGTATTGCCGCAGCCTGTGCGCGCTCTAAATGAGCAGCTGCAGCTGTTCTCCAACGATGATGAGTCAGACGACGTCGAGGCAGACGTCAGTCACTATTTAACATTAAGTTTGCGGAATTGGGATTAAGAAAAAAGAGATTTTATATCTGAATACTTTTCTGTGACGTTGTTAAGTTGTTTGAAAAGCGTTTGTAATATGAAAAAGCAGGAAAAGCTGTGAATAACCAATTAGTTTTTATGACATTATCATTTTTATGTAACCTCTTGGCAGGAGCAGTGTACTCGCATGTACGTATGCCTGTATGTATGTATGCACGTATGCCTATAGCTGTTTATTTGCATAATTATTTATAGCAATCAAAGTCTACCAACAGGTCAATTAAGATCACAAAAGACAGAAAATTGTAAATGAAAAATAAATTTACCGTTATTTACTAGTTGGTTCGCCACTGCAAGGAAGGCGATTTCAAGCGTTACCTCGACATAAGTTTTTATCCAATTGAAATAAAATAGTTGATGTAATAATTTATCGACAAAGCATTAAAGTCTCTCGCGCGAGAGCGTAATCGATCAGCGTAATTGCTCGTTGAATATATTAAAACGTATTAATTAAATTTTATAGTTTTATACAAATGCATATGATTTGTACTTATTTTATTTAATATTTATATGTATGTATTCATATTAATAATGGAAAATAGCACTGCAATGTATGTATATATGTATGTTAATTAATCTCAGATAAAAGAGATGGATCAACTCGTACATGCTCGTGTCGCTTTGTTACGAGGGAAATGAATTTCATTGCAACGATTTGCTAATGCCAGTATCTCACGAACGACTAATACTATACAATATGTATGTAAACGTAAACCGATTGTATATAAATTAATGTATTTGTTTAAGTATTAACAAACTTGTCTAAATGTAAACAAATAAAAACGATTTTATGCTAATTTTTAGCAAAAATATTGAAGAATTTTCGTTGCCATCGAACAAAGCATTTAATTTATTTTTTTTTGAGTGACAACAAACAGTGAGTACAAATAATGAAATATTCTAGAGTCGTCGGTCGAAATAGATTTTTGGGTGGCACATATTTAGTTGGGAACAAGAATGGTAGGTCTCGTAAAAACTAATCGATTACTTTTGAATTAAATTGAAATCTTTACTAACTACAGTTGGAATTATTCGATTTATGGCAAATATGCACCGTTTACCTCGAAAACTTATTGCCATTCCGAAGGAAATGAATCTGTTATGAAAACAATTGATTTTCATATGTTTCTCTTGAGGCTAACTCTTCAACATCCATAGATAGGAACACAGGGAAATCACTTGGCGCGAAGTCCGGACTATGAGGAAGATACATAAGGACTTCCCAATTAAGTTCTAGGTCGATGTGTGTGGTCCAGCGTGGTCCTGATGAAACGCAATTTCCTTCTCCAAAACTTCTGGACAACTGCTTCCTCCACAGGCAAGCACACCTTCACCTTCCAAGCACAGAACAAAACATTCATGGCCATAAAACTTGGCTAAGAGACTGTTTGTGCCGGCTCACGACCGTTTCCATTCGGCGTTGCTGTAAGTTATCCACTTTTCATCACCAGTCATCATCCGTTTCACCATTGCTTCGATTTTGCTACGATCCAGCAGCGATTCGCTGATGGAAATTCGATCCATGAGTTTTTTCTTGTTAACTCATGTAGTGCCCATACATCGAGCTTCCTTTCAAGTGATTCTAAACTGTGTTTTGCGCATTCTTTAGCTTCTGAGCAATCGAAGCAGTGCCCTCATGACTCCATGATTTCCATTATTTTATCGACATTTTCGACAATTGGCTTTCCGTGCCGTGGATCATTTTTTGCTTTCGCCTTTATCGAAGAAAAATTGAAGAATTAAGCGTATTTTTCCTCTGCTGGTGTCCATCCTCGATATGACACTAAACCTATCTATTGCAAAAATAAATGATAACCTCTTACTAGACCAACCTCAATTGAGGAATCATTGCAATATCCCTTAAAGAGTTTTTTTTCTAAGGCTTTTTTTTAAGTAACGGAACCTTCAGAGAACGATGTTGGATCGATCTATTGGAGAACTTTGAATTTCTGAAAAGTTCGATATCTCTACCTAGTGGACTGATTCTCCCATCTTCTACTTAAATCTATTAACATTAAGCCCTTTTTAAGCCTCTTTGTTAAGTGAGTTAATTTAATAGTCATCCGTGTGAATATTTGGTCTCAACTTCTGGAGCCCCAAAAGCTGTCTTCTTTGTCTTATTACTCAGCTCAAATTTACGGACCATCCAAAATCCATCCTCTTGATAAATTCAAAATCGATCATTGCTTCTGGAATCATTTTCCCCACAAAATGGCGCACTAATTACGGTACATTTTGCCAGATTGTGCATTGCGCCTGGCATTTAATTGCTCATAGTTTGTGTGTTTTTTTTCCAATATCGCTACCGTTAAGTGTCTGCATGTGCTCGAGTGCACTCAATTGAAATTTATCTTTCAAATGTTTTCAATTGACGCAAATTTATTTATTTAAAATAGACATATATACATACCTGGAAGAAATAAGTCCACAAATATCAAACACAAATAAAGTACAAATAAATTAGTTTACAAAAGAAGAAGTGAATCTATGGAAGGGAAGCTTCTCCAGCCTGCTGAATGGTGGTAAACATGGAAGACTAGGACTTGGTGAAGCTGATTCCACGGCATGAAAAACTGATTTGATTTTTGCATTTGCGATGATTGCGCCAATTACTGTGGGATAAGCCTCCTCAATATCTAAGGTCCTAACTAGCGTATTGTGTGAAAAACTGCAGCCAAACGTCTACAACCTGACTCGACAGCACGAAAAGGAGTTGTTTCTATGTCTGAATTCGTTATTCCCACAATCCTTGTGTGACTTCTTAAATTTATTCCTGTATAAAATGAAAGAGGAGGTACAACCTTCAACATCGCAGAATCACCCTTGCCAACAGGTGTTACTTGGCACTGAGTAGGAAACGGAAAATTAAAATCCAAAAATAAAACCAAAACCAAGAAGCGTAAAATATATCGCCATCCGACGAGTAGGCCTTTAAATAGAAAAGTTTCGCAAAAGACTTATGGTGGCTACGCATTGCAAACACTGAATACCGCAGGCATGGAACGAGAACTGTAGAAGTTATGCGATGAGGTTGATGCAATTCAGCGGACGAAGAGCCAGCGTCTAAGTCGGCTGATCTGATCCGATTGGATGACAACACTCCAGCTTTAAAAGGGTTCGATGCAGTGGCAGCAAAGGAAGTTGAAGACATCCACTCCGTCGGAAGGATCAGATGAAGAGCGACAAGTGGAAAGCCTGATTTCAAATGAGTCTAAGAATATTAATCATACAAATTAAACTTAAGTCTTCTTTCGTTTTTTTTTTTTTTTTTTTTTGTTATCCCAAACACTGAAATAGTCTTGGCTCATATAATTTAGCTAACTGAGAATTGCTGGGGACTGAGCGTCTTAAAAACTGAATTTTATTGCCGTTATAGATGCACCGAACACTTTTCAAGTATTTACTTAAATATGTGTATGAAAAGTATGTCTTTCATTTGTGCCCCTTATCAATTGTCGTTTGGTATGCGATTCTTGGCCTCAAAAGCCATCGACCCGCCAACCGCCGTAAATATCCACGACAAGTTGAGTTTGCCACGAATAGCGGTTTAACTTATTAAAGGCGCGGATATTGCTCAATCCGAATATACTCGTATGTATGTATGTAGAAATATTACAAGCTTGCAAACATATCGACGATAAGTTTCATAAGCAAATTTTATATAAAGATATATCTCTTGTTATTCTGTAGGCTGTCAGTGCAAAAGCCAATGAACTTTTGACTTCAACTTGTTGTTGTTGTTCCTGTTGTTGTGACTTGCCGTCTTCTGGTAGGCGAAGTGCAAGCCTACATACATATTTACATGCTCAGTAACTACATAAATATCATACACTGAGCATATGTGGGTATGTGTGTGTGTGCTTGTGTGCGTGTGCAGTTTTGTACTCCCATATCATTGAGCAAATAATCATAAGCAAACAAATTGCAATTCATAAGCAACAAAATGTTTATATGTACACACATATACACCTATACATACACGTATATGGAGTTATGCAGTTATGTAGAATAAATGAGACAAAATAAAACGTAAGCAAGCGAGCGAAATGCAATAAGAAGAAAAGTATACTCGTAAATGAAATGAACCACAGCGGGTAATCAAGCAGTCAAAGCGTCAATCAGGCAAACAAGCAGGCAGTTAAGTTTGCTTGCCAACTAAACGTCTGTCCATTCATATAATCAACTATTCAGCTACACACATACATACATATGTGTATGTATGTGTGTACATGACTGCGATTGTGGCATGTTGTCAATTAATTCAACCCAATTTACGTACTTTACCGTCAACTTCACTGTTGAGCTGAGTGGGACACTGATAAAAAAGGGCTTGGAGCCCTATCAAACGTATATATATATACGTATGTATATACGAGTATATGTATGAACATACATATGTATGTGAATATAATATGAAAGTGAACTAAGGACACTTCAAATGAACTCCACTTTTACGAACATTCAGAATTCTTTACTCGAGCTTTACTCACATAAGCACACACACAAATACACATGGATATGCGTAAAAAACGAAATTCAGGATTTTTCACGAGACATAAAAACTATTAACTTTCATATTCGCAAATCCAATATTTTTAAGAATAAATTTTTCTCACTAAATGAAGAGTTCTTGGCTTCAAAATCTCATTCAACGAGTATGAAAAATTTGATAATAAATTCAGTTTTTATGTTCGCGAAGTGGTGGATAAAGGTTGGGAATAAGATAAAACAGATAATTTTTCCCTTTCAACATTCTCCTGCGAGACGGATACATGTTTCAGATCGTTCAATTAATTCTCTTTATACCCTCATAAAAATATGTCTTCCCTTTATACCTCAGCTTATTATTAATTTTTGGAAACGGGTAATTATTATTTGCTGCTGGTCTGGGCTGCATGTTTGAGAACTCACCATACCGAAACCCACCTTATGTGGGGCCACCACGGCAACGGGGCTATTGTTGACGAG